CCACAACCAGAAGAAATAGACATAGAGAATGGAACTGAAGTTGAACAATGTGGCAGCCACCAGGTACTGTGCTTGACTGAGTAGGAGGGATAGTATTGAATAGCAGTGTAAATATCATGAGACACTAAGAAAAAAAATGTATATAATATATTCATGATGGATAACCCTTTACCATATTTTATGATCACTGCCACTGATCAAATATTTATGTCAATTTCTGTCAAATAAACACAATTACAGTGTATCCCTTACCTACCTTATTCACCAGATCTGGTACTGTGTGACTTTTGACTCTTTCTCAAAGTCAAAATGACCATGAAAGGTAAATGTTTTGAACAGAATCAGGGATGGAGGCAACCACAACAGCACAACTAAAGACACTTATGAAAAAGGACTTCCAGAACTGCTTCAGAAAGTGATAAGAATGATGGGATAAGTGTGTTAAAATGAAGGGAAATATTTTGAGAGGAGTTAATAGCAATGTATCTTTTACTTTAATAAATCATTAAAAATTTAAATGTTCACCATAATTTTGTATTAAACCATACATATCCAGTAGGCGTAGTTTTTAGTTGCTTCTCCTATAGATCTATTAAAATACAGATTGTGAAAAATTAATATTACAGATTGTAAAATTGTTAAATTTTGACCCCTTAAAGCAATAGATATCAGATACTAACATAATTTATGAGCTAGACCACCTTGTAGAAATTTCCTAATACAAAGAAGAGAGATTTGGTAACTTTATGTTCCTAATCCCTAAATGTTGGGAGACTTGAGGATTACAGAGAGGTTTATTTGGAATTAGCTGATTGTGCTAGAAATATCCACATGGAGGGAGGGTGTAGGCTTTCCCCTTGGTACAAGAAAGAGGTGCTTCAAGGAGACTCAGTGGACATTAATATGTACCTCCTCATGTTTTGGGGAGATAGTGGAGGCCGTGGACTGGTTTCTGATGACCATAAGTGACAAGTGATGAGCTTGTCAGCAGCTTAAGATACATCAATGCAGAGGTGCTAAATTGCAATGATCTTACTCTTTTGGGGAGTGTTAGAGAGTTTCCCCTGGAAGAGATGTGTGCCACGCATGTCAAGGGTTGACGTAGGTTGCTTAGTTCCTTTCCTTAGGAAGTTTACCTTCCCAGCAGGTGAACTGGTCTCAGTAGATAGACCCCGATGGTGACACTTGGAGCTATGGATGCAGTGATAAACTGAGACAGTATAACCCACATAAACGATAGCCCAGATGGAAAGTTTCTAGTGAGTGGAGGAGGTAAAGTCATTGAAGAATCTGGAAAAGGATCCACAAGGTCAGAATTAGCCTTGAACACATCCCAGTTGCAGAGAGTGAGCCTCTTGGCTTAGTGACCAGAAAATTTACCTTTCCTTTCACAACTTACTTCCTCTTTCATCACCTTCCCCTTTTTACTCCAGCTTCATATTTCAGAGACCTCAGGACATGAGATTAACTATTTGAGAAAAGTAGGAAGTGGGGAAAAATGAAGCCATTAAATACCTCTTCACTATTGGCTCTTGTCTTCCACTTACAGCAGATTCTAGCTCTACAGGGGAGCCTGACTGAGCGAGGGAGTAAGACACATCTTCATGATTTCTAATTTCCATGTGTTTTTCTTATGTAGCTGGATACTTTCTAGTTGAGAATGTGTTTGGTGGGCTAATGTAACTAGTGTGTAAGTTACTTTCTTAAAGCTCCGAGGGGTCAGAGTCTGGTAGATGTCTGATTCTTGTTGGCTGAAATGATTTTTTATTAGTTTCCTGTGGCTGCCGTAACACTCCTTAAAAGGAGTGGCTTAGAAGAAGAGAAATTCACTTTGTCATATTTCTAGGGTCTAGAACTCTGAAATCAAGATGGTAATGGGATTGTGCTGTCAGGGAGAATCTGTAAAGTCTTTCGTTTAGCCTGTTGCCATTAGCTTAGCTTGGCACGCATTATCTTGAAGATGCTTCTTTGTAGTTGCTGCCTCTGTGGTCACGTGGCATTCTTTCTGTGAGTGTCTTTGTAATCTCCACATGGCACTCCTCTCTGTGTGTTTATCTCTGTTCTCATCACCTCTTGTAAGAATATCTGTCACACTGGATTAAGGGCCCACTGTAGTGAATCCTCGTATTAGTTTATATCTTAATAACATCAATAATGATTTCATCTCCAAAGAAGGTCACATTCAGAAGTACCAAGGTAGGAAAACTTCGACATATCATGTAATTTAATGAGCAACAGATGTTATGCAGACTTTGGCCTACTTGATGCTTATAAATGGAGTTAGGGATTATTGTGTGTATGACTGTAGTTAGGGTCTCTTCCTAGTTACATTTCTGTTTGTCTGTCTGTCTATCTACCTATCTATGGTATAGGGGATCGAACTCAGGGCCTTTGCACTGAGCTACATCCCTAGCCCTTTTAATACTTTATTTTTTTAAAATTTTGAGACAGATGCTTACTAAAACACTAAATTTCCTATAGTTGGCTCAAATTTGCAAACTTGTGATCCTCCTGCCTCAGCCTCCCAGAGTGCTGGGATTAAGTGTGTGTCACCATAACCAACTAATGTTACTTTCATTTCTTATCATGTGTGTTGCACTTTTTCAAAATACACAGTATGAGGTTCCGAGTCTATAGTATTAACCTGTCAGGGTTTCAGCTCCTGGAGATGCCCTTCTATTTTGTCCACTTTCATCCCAGTGTTGTCGACGATGTTTCTCTGTTTTGACACCCTCTGGGCATTTTGTGAGAGGACATACAGGTACTGTGAGTGAGCCTCACCACATGTTAATCTGCTCTCCATTTTGTTAATACTTCCAGTTCTTTGTGTGCATTTTTCTAACTCTCTGAAAGACAGACCACCACTTACTACCCTGTACTAGGCACTTCCTGTCACTATAGTAAACTCTTACAAGAAAATTAATAAGAGGAAATGTTTATATTTGGCTCATGGTTCTAGTGGTCCATGATGGAAACTGAGAGGGGCAGGACATCATGGCAGGAGCACATGGAGGGCAAACCGCTCACCTTACAAGCCAGAGAAGACCATAGGGGAGGGTGCCATGATTTCTTTGAAGGCCCTGTCCCCAGTGACCTAATGACCTCTTAATAAGCCCCACCCCTTAAAGGCGCCACCTCCACATAGCCCTAACCTGGGACCGACCCTTTAAACATGGGCCTTTAAGGGACAATCAATGTCCAGACTTAGTCTTTCAAAGTCCTTCCATTTTGTGAAATTTGCCCACACCCACAGGACTGATGGTCAGCCATGTGTACTAGTTCAGCTATTCTGAATTTTTAAAAAGATTATTTTCTAAATGGGCCTTTTCTCTCTTTAATTTACTGCAGAATATTCTTTCCATAATTTCTGCTGCTTCAACACATTATATGTTTTTTAATGATAGTATTTCCATCGATTACTTAAAATAATTGTCACCAGGTGTGTTTCCTTCACTAAACTGTTTTTCTTGAAGCTTGTTGTTTATTGTAGTTTTTCTTAAGTGCATCACAGGGCCTGGATTACAGAAGGAGCTCACTAGGAGTTTTCTGAGTGGGATTGAGTGTGCATGAGAGTAGACAAGGGCCAGTTGCATTAAGTGAATCTTGAAGTGTATCAAAGCGTCTTGGAAGCTTCTTCAAGGAAAAATCCTCATTAAAATCGAGAGGAAACAGGATAGTAGAGCAGTTGACAACTTACAGTGGCCTTCCTGAAATACTTTCAATCCCTTCCATTCTCCTGACAAAGACTTAATATGACCTTTTATTTCCTTTGTTGTCAGAGTCTGGTTAATAAATGATCAAATTGGTTAATGTCCAGTATGATATAATTTAATCATTTTTCCATGTTGCTCATTAGAACATTGATTATCAATGGGGCAGAGAGATCTATTAAAAAGAGAATAATGCTAAAAATAGTAATAATAATGATGTTGGCATTAATATTGGCTGGCATTTAATGCTTAGGTTGGTGTTATGCTATATCCATTGCCTGTTTTTGTCTCACTTAGCTTTCTTTCCTATAGGCTATATGAAGTAGGAAGAATTATCATTCCCATATTATAGATGAAAAATAAAGACTTACAAGAGTTTAATTTAGTTTCCCAAGATCAAACATCTGGTGAGATGTTGTAGCGATTGCATTCATATGACTATTCTTATAATGACTGCTACAGTCAATTAATCAATGTTACTTTTAACTGTTAACGTTGTTTCAGACAAATAACTTTGTTAAGGCGTGAATTTAAAATCCTTACCTATCTGTGTGATGGCCCTTTCTGGAAAGCTATTGCTCAGATTGAATTTCTTATCCCCCAATCTGAGCATTCTGATAATGATGCAATAAAATCTTTTATGGGATACTCCTCAAGATTGTTATATGCTAAGGGAGGGAATGAGATATATTTTCATAACTTCTGACTTCTACAAAGTACTTTTCTCCTCACTGCAGTATAGAAAAGCTTTGAAATTGCATCTCATAAGGAGGGTAATCAGCAATTATTTACAGAGTCAGCCTATAATATCTCATCTTATCACTTATGTGGAAAGACCCAAAGTGTCATGAATATTTTAAAGCCCATACTCACTAGGAGAGGGAGGAAAGTAAGTTTAGATAATTGCAAATTTAATTTCAGTTTGTTGTATTCCAAGTCAATATTCTGTTTCAACATGCTTACCATCTTATCTTTTGAAATGATGGAAGCTGATGCTTTCCTTCCCAAAGTGCAAGTCTTACACCCATGTAAGAGAAGAAAGAGAAGCTGACAAGTCAGGCTGAGTCTTACCCCAGTCACCACAGTTCCAGCTGCAGGGCTGAGCGGACCTTTGGGGATGTTACTTGGCATTTAAAGCAAATGGTTCCTGAGGCAGTTGCTGAATGGAGCTGAATATTTTGTTAAATGATTTTCTTCCCTGACCTTTATTATAAATGAATCTTTTAAAAGAAGCACTTGAAGACTAAAAAGAAAGATTGTTTTGTTCATCTCTTTTCTCTTTGCCCACAGAACCCAAAGAAATGGTATTACGTGGCAAGAGATCTGCTGTCTTTTATGAAAAGTCTGACCAAGGTAGTAAAGCTTATTTTGAATTGATTTTTTTTGTCTGTTTAATACAAGAAACTATTGACTTTCCTTGATTAGTGGTTTTCAATATTGAGTGACTCATCAAAAGTGTAAATCAGGGGCTGGGGATTTAGCTCAGTGGTTCTGCTGCCTGCCTCGCAAGCATAAAGACCCGAGTTCGATCCCCGGTACCAAAAAAAGAAAAAAAATAAATCATCTGAAAAGCAGAAGGAAGGATTTATGGTGATCACTATATTTATAAAGTGAACAGTAAAATTTTAAATATATGACAGCTTATAGAAACATTGTGGATAATGATTGCTTTTATGATAGCACTTTCTCCTTAATGTTAATATAGTAATAGTATCTTGATGAGAAGATTGCATTCTCTTTATTTGGAAATAATTTCTATTGGTGTAACATATTTACAAGTGTTTAGAAAAAGAGAATGAGACCCTCGTCGGGGTCCAGTGATGAGGGATGAATTTTTCCTTTCTTTAAACATTAGTCAGCTGGCTTTATATATTATTGTTTGATGATGCAAAAGAATTGTTATACATTTCTAAAAAATCACATCAAATTTTATGAAGACACTCTCATATAAAATACATATTTTCTCTGGAAAGATTGAATTATACAGTTGTTGAATAGCATGGCTGATTATGCTTAACAGATTGGATATTTAGTTGCTAAATTTTCAAATTGCTATGTGATTTATTTACATATGTCATCCTAAGAATATAAAAACTCATGCAAATATTCTAATGACATATTCATGTAAACAAAGTGTGAGTGTAGAAGCACAATATGTGTATATTTTGTGAATAAAACTACTCTTCCAAAAGAGATTTTTACAGATATGTTTCAGACAGAATTGTGAAGGGAGCTGCATGCATCTATTGAGTACTGTCTATGTATATATCTATAATATCGCTGTATGTGTATAAACATATGTAGTAACTGAAATGTATTATGTCCTTACATATTAACTGGAACTGAGTTTTATTTCTGACTACTTGTTGAAGTCCTCCAAAACATATGAATACTAAAAGAAAGGTAGAACTTTAAATTTAATGGGTATTGGCACAAATTTGGCTTTTGAACTTTTATTTGCAGTTTAGCAAAAATAAATTGTTCAATTATAAACTGAAGCCTTTGTACTTATTTTTGGCATTCAGTTAATTCTTCAAAAGATATGTAAACCCTTTGAGAAAACAGCTTTTCTCTCCTAAAGATTTTTGAATTAGGATGCTCTATCCAAGTTTCGTCTACTCCAAAAATGTTAATTCAAACCAACATAATTTAAAATAGTTAATGAAGTGAGTTGAGGCTTCCTGTGCTTCCCAAAGCAGGACATGATAACAAGATCTAATACCTAGACAGTATGCGGAAGAAGCTGAGGCTGAACTATGTGACAAGTGTAGGGAGATGAGTGGTAGAAAGTGTGTGTTGCAGGGGAACCAGTGGAGATGGCACTGTTCAGAAAGTGTGCAAGTGTGTTTCACACTGGAAGAGAAGGAGCCAGCAAGGAGGGTCACGGATCTCCATGCTTTAGAATGAAAACAAAGAATGAGGGAAGGGCAGACTCTCCAGAATGTATTCATGTGAAATTATTTTTTCCCAGAGGTATTTGTAATACATTCAGTTAATTAGGAATATATTTTCTATATTTAATATATAGATAGACTTATTTTGAATTGAATGTAGTAGAGGAAGGCTGGGGATATGGAGGGAAATTCTCATTCATATTGTAGAATTTTTAACGTCTGTGAACTCAGAATAACCAAATTTGCTTCTTTTCATCATGAGAATACGTGAGGCATTCTGTATAGTGCCAAAAGTGCTTTGGTATGATTAAACTCGCAAGGAAATTGTGATCCAGGACCCGTCTGCCTTTGTGTCAGATTGTGTAGGAGTGAACTGAGGTGGGAGAACTGGTATAGAAAGATGGGTTTATATCAAGGTCTCTAGAGGTTTATTCTTTAGATTCACTTTAACAGGAGTGTTTTTCATCTCATAGAATTCCTATTAATAAGGCAAAAAATGCTAATGTATTGATACTTTGCCTCTGTTATCTCAGACGAGACATATACATTTAATTTTCAATGTTTAAATACTGGAGGTTTAAGCCATACTCATAAAGGTGGTATTTTTTGGATGAATACAACTGTGCTGCTTACCCTAGTTGTAAATGAATAACAATGAGGACTTTCATTTTGTGTAAGATTAACTCTGGCAAAGGATCCCAGAGTACAATGAGTTGAATTAACAGGAAATTTTCTGTGTGTAGATACTTGAAAAGTCTGTATTTGACACTTTTAAAGGTGATATTTAAATAAATTTTCATATAGTATCTTATTACTAGAAGTTATTGGTATAGTCACAATATTCTTAATTTTATAACCCAAAGATACAGGCAATTTTAATTAGTCAGGTCAAAATGCAAGTTGTCTTTTGATATAACTAGTAAGATTTATATATCTATGTTATATGTAATACATTTCACATATATGAGAGAGATGTAATGTTATTCCAGTTTTGTTTGTATTTTCTTAAAATAGAGTTTCAAATAAGAAAATTTTATGTCTAGAATTTGTCTTTATTGTGTAAGAACATTACATTTTATTCTCAAATGCAGTTAGCTTTTCTCTAAAAAGTCAAAATGTGACAATTAAATATTTAAATATTTTAATGTACTTTAGGTTGAAATCTAGTCTGATAGGCTGAATAGAAGCATATTTTTCTTTCTTCTTTTCCACAGCCTATAACCTTAATCTGTAACCTTATAACTTGACAACTTCTCTTTAAGAATTAGCCTTCTGGACCCTAATAATGTTGCAGCTCTCTTTCGTTCTCTCTCTTAGCCTGCTTTCGCTCAGTAAAGTCAGTCAGATGTAATATCTATCATGCTGTTATTATTTTTGTGTCTTCCTATGTGTACATGTGTATATATGTGGGTATATATCATTGTATATGAAAGGACCCATATCTTTCTGCCGATCACTTTCGCTTTCATTTGTAAGTAAAGCAGACACATTTTGAATGAATGTACCTCTTGAATATCCAGGATTGTTCCACTGAAGGAAAATTTAAAAGCCTAAAAGAGATCGCTTTGTAGTATAAGAGGTATAATCTAGCTATACTTTGTATTAATTAGGAGTACCTTGGGAACCTACTTTATTTTTGTCACTTATTTTCATGGAGAATAAAATCTAAATTCAAACCCACTAATTTATAAAGCCACTGTAGAAACATGCTCTTTTCACCAAGGAGAGGTGGCCTAATTCTATCACTGCTTGGCTTTGTGCCATTTTGCAAATATCATTGGAGAAAAGTCTAACCTGAGCTACTCAACAGAGTCACTTTTGCTTAAGAGCAAATAAGTAGCCTATGAGAACACTACCTATTCCAGAGCTTTCATCAGAATCAAGAGGAAAAGTAAGTCATACTGGAATTGACAGCTCATTCATTTATTCATCCATCAATTAAATGTTTACCTACTATGTTCACAAATGCTAGAGTGAAGATGTATCCCAGAACTAGAGTGTCTTCCCCTTGTGCTATTACACACACACCCACCCACCCCCACACACACCACATGCATACACACATATGCTACAAAATCTACTAGCATACTGTTAGAAGTTATCTCTGTGGTTCTAATTTCTTTACACAAATTTCATTTTCTTTCTTGCACTTCTGTGTATCATTCATTGTATGGTTAGAAACCATCAAAGCAGTCCCTGGTAGCTATCTTTAAGTCTTTGATTATTGTTGAATCTGAATCTGTGTGTAGGAATTTTGTGGTCATTTAGAATGTACATGCTTGTTTGTGGAGACATGGTCTAAATTAACCCATACCCAGCTCTACAAAGGGTCTCTGTAGGCACATCCTAAAGTGCCCAAATGCTAGGTGTGGAAGTTGGGGTAGGGTTATTGTTATTTGGTAGACTGAGATGAAATTAGATCTGTTGTGGGTTTGGATGGAACCTTTAGTATTTGGGGATCTCCAGAAATTGGCAATTCTCAATAAAGAACTAATGGCTTTGAGAAAATTGGGTTTTTTTGTACCAGGGATTGAACTTGGGACCTTGCGCTTGCGAGGCAGGGGACAGAACCACTAAGCTAAATCCCCGGCCCAGAAATTGGTATTTTAAAGGCTTCAGTGGATGTGTTAGTTTTTGTTTCTTCAGTTTTGTGGTACCAGCATCAGTGGGAATCAAGTAATTGAAGATAATGTAGTCTAGGCTGAATATAATAATTTATAATGTGAGTTGTCTCCTGGACCTGGAGAGTGTGCCATTGATGTCTGTCTATCTGGTTAATATTACATAGTATATGTATATATGTCTCCCCCCCACCCCTTGCTCTCTCTCCCCTCTCTCTCTCAAATGCATGCATTCAGCTTTTTAAAAATTATGCCACTAGATGTCAGCAGCAACCTCCTAGGGTTTCTATGACCTTAATTTGTAACAAAAAGGTGTGTTATTAGAACATCCTATCAGAGAATAATACATATTCAATGTGAAAGTTTAAGACCTATTTTTGAAGTATTAAAATTAGTATATAAAATATTCTGAAATTATTTTTAAACTGGTTTTTGTCCATATGTAGCACATTATTTTTCCTCGCTGGCTTTCCTGTACCAGTGAGGCTTTATGAAGAATTATTGATGAAAGCTGAGTGATTTGGCAGAAATTGGACCTGCTGCCAAATCTCTAAAATTCTGTTTCAATACTTTATGATTCATTGATGCCATCATTGTATAAGGATTTGGATTTTGGCTTCATTTTATTTTGTTTTTATAGATATGTATTTGGTGATATTCACCATCAGAAGATTGTGTGGTATTAATTTTTCATTATTCACATCTGTGCCCTATTTACTTAGTAATCACTAAACTATCTTGGGTCTGTGTTTTGTTGTTACAAGATACTCAGAACATTTTGATGGATGCCATAGAGTATTTTGGATGTTTGCTCATCCATTGACAAAGTAATGTGGGC